TATTACACCAAAAAGGTTAAAACACGACTCCGGCTGGCAATTTGCAGTGATGCGCACAATAAATAACGACTTTTTCAATTTACATTTTATTTCTCGAATTACGTCAAAAACGCCCCGCACCCCACCCTCGATAGTACCACGCGTTCTTAACAACACATCCATGCAAGAAAGTATGCGACGGTTTTGAAGTCGAAGATTTATAATAAGTGTTGGTAAATAAGCGAAGATTCGAGGTGTGTTTGTTTAGCTTAGGTCGTGAGGCAAATGCTGCTCGTTCTTGTAGACAACCTGGCAATTCTCGCGGGCGACTTCGATGACTTGTTCTAAATGTTTTTCTAATTTCTCCTGCTCCAGAATGCCGCTGTTTGGGAAGAAAAAATTCGACGAGAAGATCACCAAGAAGTACGAATTTCGAGATGTTCTGGGGACGTAAGTAGCCTCCGAAGTTATCTTCTTTTGTGACAGATAAATTGACGTCGCTTTAAGCAACGTCGTATGACTTTACTGCGCGCCGCTTCGCATATAGTAGACCGTTTATAATAAGTTATCGGGACTCGTTTGCAGTTAATCCAAATATTTCGAGTGAACTTCGATTGTATTCCTGCTGAACCTGTAAACTTTTTCATTTCAGGGGCGCATTCTCCGAAGTTGTCATGGCCGAAGAAAAATCATCCAGGAAATTATTCGCTGTAAAATGCATCAATAAGAGAAACCTTTCGGGCAAGGAGGAAGCGGTTGAGAACGAAATCGCTATATTAAAGAAGTGAGTCAATTACTAATAAACAGTCTTTGCAATATCGTGATCAATAATGGCTATTCATTGAGCCAGGAAATATTTTCGTGTTGCACGCTTGCCCATGCGATATCGCCAAGTCTGCCTGTTGCTCGATTACATGTTCTTTGCACAGCCATATAACTGATTATTTTATACTTTTATTGTGTCCTCAGAGTGAATCATCCAAACATAATTAGACTGTGGGAAATATTCGACAACAAGACCCATCTCTATTTAGTCATGGACTTGTAAGTACAGATAAGTTTCCAAATGTGTAAACGTTCTTAAACTTCGCATCGTGTTACGTTTCGTTTGGAATAATGGGTCTTTCATGATAAAATTGGAGAAGCATTCGTTCAATACTGTACTAGGGTTTAGGCAGCGTGGTGTGATAAAGTCAGTTGATTTCCTTGTCCGACTCCCGGGGCGGTTAAAAACCTGAGCGAAACAGTATGACGGAAATTTTTTTCTTTCTGACACCGCAGGATGTGTTCTGTTGACTCAATTCATATGATTTTTGCAGTTTCTTTATTTGCTCTGTTGTTGTGAAATTCTCGTGACAAAAAAGATAATTATGTTTTATGGATATTGCGGCATTGAAGGTGCGATCATCTCCGATTTGTCTCACTCGGATAGATATTTTTCGCACGCCAGGCCCGGTCGTATCGGATATCGAACTTTTGCAAGTAACACTGTCCGCGCGGACACGCGTTCTTATGTCAATCGAACTGCACCAAAATGGTTTGAATGTGGTTACTAAAGTAAATCTGCCTTGAGATGGCTTCAGAATCTATTCATCCTTTGATGCCACTCGCTCCTTATTGTTTTCTTTTCTATGTGGAGTGAATAACTTTCAATCCCAAGGGGCCCTTGCTAATAGGCAGTTAATTTGGACCGGTGAAATTCATCATAGGTTGAGCTGTCAAAAAAAAAATAGAAAAGTAAACACACGAGTGTAGAGCGATTCCAAAGTCTGCGTCGACGCGCCATCTAAGCTTCGAAGAATTTTTGCCGGATGGAATGAATAACATTTGGACGCTAAGCCTTTTTTTCTTCACGTTGGTAAACAGATGTTTCTTCGAAATGACTACAGCACTCCTCAAAGGCAGATTAAAACATTTTCAGATAACAAATTGATAAAGAAAAACTTCGCATCTCAGCGGTGTGTCTCCTTCGAGCCATTGAAATATTGTGGGTTCTCTTTGCGGGGGCGAAAACAAACTAAATGCAAGATACGTCGAAATATAATACAGATTAATCCGTTCACTACGCAAGTGAAACATATTATACACTGTTGATAAGATTTGAGAATGGGTCGTAAAGACTGATTTATTGTTTTCCTTGATCTCGTCGAAAAACACTGCAACTTTTTCAGGCCAGCCTCTTCAACTGTCAACATTTCTGGGTGTTAACTCATTTAAATGCGTTACAACTTCTCTTTCAAGCATCTGTTAATAAATGATCGAATTCAACCGCGGTGTCTGCAGCTGTTCTGCGGAACTCGTTATTTTATTCAAATTTCTTGTAAATTGGACGTGTGGAGGTTCCCAAGTAATAATTGGAGAAACATGCTTAATTAAAGTTGATTGTAAAGCTCCGATCTTATGTGCAAATGGACAAACTAGGTACTGATACTTCTGATTTATTTTGAATTACGCTGAATAATTTATAAACTGCTGCCTTTAGATGTTGTGTCCTGGCCGCGTGTGACAATATCAGAAATAGTACAAAGGGGTTTCATTATTTCAGCCAAAATCGCTTGTCATAAATTATACTAATTTTGTCGGTGATGTTGGGGGAGTGACTGGGGAAGGGGATGGCCTGGTGGAGCTAAGGGAGAAGGGATGGTGGGATGTCACTCTGTCTCTAATTCAGACTTCCAGAAACAAAAACAAAAATAACACACACACACAAAACAAAAAACAACAACAACAACAAAAGGAAAAAAAAAACTGGAAGAGGAGAGAGAGGAACACTTTCAATTAATTTTAGACAACCACCACATAACAGGTCGGGACTTGCAGTCTCCCCACTACTTGAACACTGATATTAATTTTATATTGCAGGGTTCAAGGAGGAGAACTATTTGATAGGATAGTGGAGAAAGGGAGCTATACAGAAAAGGATGCCAGTGACCTCATAAAACAAATACTAGGAGCTGTTGATTATTTACATGGGCAAGGAATTGTGCACAGAGATTTAAAGGTATGTTGAGCATGTGCTTTAGCCTTGTTTAGTGGTGAAAGAAGCAACATAAGCAACCCAGAACATCGCTAATTTATCAGTAATTTATCATAATTATCATAACTATTCATATCATAAGTTTTCATAATTAATCATCAATAATTTATTCACAGAGGGGAGGCAGGATTAGCTTTCATTTCATTTGGTCTAATTTTTCATTGCAAGAACTCTAGCATAAACCACTAGAATTTGGATGGGAATTTTGTCACTTAGTCACTTTATGCAGTGCGTGGCATTGGGAAATTAATTTTACAACTTGAAAATTATAACTTAATGTGCTTTCAAATCATATTTAGAAAATCTCCCTTTAATTAAATCTGTCAGTAATAGTAGCATTCTTATGGCAGTAGCATGTATACTGTCTCAGCTAAATCTAAATCTAAATTTGTTGGTTGTGGCTTCTTGTCCAAGTCTTTTTGTGCTCTTCTTTAGGGTAATGTTCTGCTATCATGTTTTCATAGATTTTTTACTATAGTTTAAATGAGATCAGATATAGACTCTGCAATTCTCAGCGGCAGATCTAGGGGAGGGGCCTTTATTTTGGGTGAAAAAAGAAGACATGACTGAAGGAAGAAAAGCCGGCAGGGCAAGTAAAACTAAACCGGGCCCTCCTCTTAGCTCAAAGTCTGGATCTGCCTCTGATTCTTGTGTTGCCTTGTGCATCAATTGCTGTTGTGCTAGAAGTGATTTGGCAGGGGCATTAAGTAACCATAATGATGCATTTGCATAACATATATGTACACATGCATACTTTTGGAAGTCCAGTTTTAGATGATAAGTATCCCAAATTATTAGATTTTCTGGTTTGAAAGACTCTAGTCTCTCCTATAAATTAAATTCTACTATTAAATGTAAACGCAAAGGTCGACCTATAATTAAACAAGATAAGTTACTACATGTAAATACCATACTCAACATTTTCCCAAGTTTTGATTGACAAAACTGTTCCTTGAAATGAAGTACTGTGAGAAATGGCATGCCCAGGCTCCCAAAAATAGAAATTTCCTGAGGGGCATTTCACCTAACCCCCCTGATGGCTTGCACCTTCATTGCTTGATTAATGTTCTATTTGGAGTGTACTCCTGCAGTGAAAAAATGTACGCTATGCCTCTGTTTAATGAACTGGAGTACATTAACATACCAGACTGTAACTTTGCTTTGCGGCACAGGAACACATGAACATTGATACACTTTGAGTCATGGATCTGTTTATTTACACAAAAGCATATTCATTTTTCAAAGCAGCAATTGTTGTTTATCTGAATGGAAGTTAAACTTCCAGCAATTTGCATGGTGTGTATCCTGTTTATATTTGACTTCACCATATGGGGGCCCTGCAAGTATAAACATATTAGGTACACAAACTCTACATATGTTAATTTTTATTTGTGTTGAAGGGTTATCATATGACTTCTTTGTTTTATTCATTGCAGCCTGAAAATCTTCTTTATGACAGGTAAATATGACATGCCTTTATTACACACTGAGTGACCATATATATATTTAATTGGATTCCTTTCATTTCCTATAGTTGGCAGTTTGTTGATGAAATATATTGTTATGAGATAGATGTACATTTTCATCCAATATCATGAGACATTATCAAAACCTTGTGAAACTGAAGGCTTTGTGAAACAAATCATTAATAAAAAGCTATAATTTGGTCATTGGTAAATCTAATCATCACTTATAATTGATCTGATACATCATTAGTTAAAGTCAAAATTAAGCATGCTTGATGGAAACAGGAAATGACAAAATGGCGCTGTGGTTAGCTTGAATTAAGTGCCACTCCAGTTGGCTTAACTAGTGTCAGGTTAGCCTGAATGTCACTGACTTGACAGATGTTAGCCTTCAACAGGAGCCCATCACTAGGAGTATGCAACTACCCCATATTCCTGTCACAGCATTTTCACAAACGCATCTACTTTTAGTTTCAATTTACCGTGAATTTAGACCTCCACAGGAACCTCAGTGACCAATCACAAGCAGAGACTTAATTTTTAACTGACATCGTCATTTCACTGGAAGATTAAGTGGACATGTCCACCTGAGGCCGGCATTTTTTCCCTTACTGATGCGTGCTTATGTAGACTGAAACTGACCTATTGTGTGAGAAAGAAGCCCAAAAATAGACCAGTATGGGAGTTGCACGTTCCTGGTGACGGACTCAATAATGCCTTCAATGATTACAATGGTTTACCCTTATACCCTTACAGACATGTACACCTGTATCCCACAGTGTCTCTCATCCATAGTGTCATTCCGTCATGTCATTATTTTGTGTGTTAATCTTGCGCATTAAAATTATCTGTTGGGTTATGCTTTTTAAATTTTCTGCCCATTACAGTACAAAATAAGTATTTTTCTGATCACAGTGGATAGAATGATCGCAGTACTCAAAGCTAAGAGGTCTTAAAGTTAGCAGCATTTTACCAAAGTTTCCAGTGAAGAACTCCAGTATATAAAGTACAGTAAAACCCACCTATAGGGACCTAAATTTTTTTTCAGTCTGGCAAAAAAGGTTCTTGTATTTTGAGGTAGGTATTGGCAATTTAGGCTAAGTAGGTACCTAATTAGGTTCTTAATCATGAAGGAGTTATATGAGTTGGTTACCAGAAAAATGAATAAACATGGGTTTAATATATCATTTGGTCCGTCAATGTACATTGCTTTTTCACAACTCAGTATTATGTATTTTCTGTCAATGTAAATTTGCAATCTGAAAGTCACACTCCTAGGTTTAAATGTTTATCATAATTTGACTGTACCCATGTACATACAAGAACCAGCTTGATCTTGTTTGTCTAAACAGGTTCTTATATTGTTGGGTATTAAAATCATGGCAAATTTCTGCCAGCAGGTTCTCAAACCACTAGGTTCTTACAAGTGGGTTTTTACTCTCAGTATTGTTGTAGGCTGGCTGGCTTACCAGCTGCTCTTTAGGAACCGGACCTGATAGAGCCACAGAAATCGAGCCTAGCATTGCTGTGACTTGGTTTATTTGTAGCAAATTATTTATGCTGTATTTTTGCTCATCTAAACAGTCCTGATGAAGACTCTAAAATAATGATCAGTGATTTTGGCTTGTCTAAGACAGAGGAAGATGACAGTATGATGGCAACCGCTTGTGGGACACCTGGATATGTTGGTAGGTTCATGGAATCAAATTAATACATAGAGGATATTACACGGTGGCAAGAAGATATGAATTTTATGTTCGAGTGGCAAGAACAATATCTCATGAGTGAGTGAAGCGAACGACTGAGATATTGTTCTTGCCACAAGAACATAAAATTCATATCTTCAAGCCAACGTGTAATGTTCTTTTTATTATATGGAGACTAAATATTGAAACCAATTCAACAAAAGCAAAAGGCGGGAATCGTGACATCATTGAACGATACGACACTCACAAAGGTGACATACGGAAAATAC